TCCTATCCCCTAGTGTGCCTTGCCTCCCACGACTGTTGAAGATTAAACTTATTCAAAATTTCAACATTCAAACCGTACAAAATTTAAAAAAATTTAAAACTAATAGGCTATATATTAATAATAGTCTCTATATGAGAAAATAATTCCAATGAGAAAAGAAAAATTACGAAGCTTCTTCAAAGCACAAAAAATACTTTTGATTATCAAAAACTAGGTATAGCTAAGAGATTGAGGGCTGATGGAAGTGTTCTTTTAACTTTGGGGGTTGAAAATAACCCCCATAACCTATTTAAACCACTTTTTCCATTTTGGCATCTTTAAAAATTTTAAAAAGGCCCACGTCCCTAGGCGCCCTCCCAGAACTCGTTTGTTATAAGAGTGACTAAAGGAGCATGGTTTGAGTACTTTACCGGTTCTTCTTGTACATCTCCTAGCAATCAAGGTAACATCAGCAATGTTCTTTCCAACAGTGGCTTGAAAGTTCTGAAAGCCTGAGGAACAATTAAGGCACCAACCTCAAATAGAAGCCAATTTAAAAGAAAGCATTCTTTAATTTTTCCCCAGTTTAGACAACATAATGCAAAGGCTAATGGCCAAAGCACAACCAATTTGGAAAGATACTTCCTTGAATGACAGGCAATAGGTATGGATCAAGCTGCAAATACAAGTCCATAAATCATATCAGAAATTTCATTATAAAAATAAAAGAAAAATAAAATAACTCTAAGAAATAAAAATGCAATAGATGCCCCTATCTCCAATCTCAGTATCTCACCTTGTTGTCTATGAGAACTTCCAACATATAATTATTCCAAAAAAATCTAGGGTTTGCCTGCATAAAGCCAAGGGTACCATAATCAGAAAGTTGACTTGAAGTTACTTTTTGTATTCACCTAATAGAACTTGAGAGCATAGAATATTACAACCTTCTAATAGAGTTCATTTTTTGCTTTCTCAATAAAGTGAGAAAATCAGGAACATGTTAATAACTTTATGGGATATACGTAGTGAGAAAAAATAACCAAACGAGTTTACGATGGACCAAGAAGGAAGTCTCCAACACGAACATGTGAGCCATCTCTCAGTGTGACTTTCCAGCAAAATATAAATGTATAGATGAATTACAAAAGCTCCTCGGCAACAAAAAGTTTAGCAAAAAGTCAATAATTTGTGATGGATGAACATATTCAATTACTCAATACAAAATATCAAGCTTGTGAGAAGCTTACTATCTGAGAAAGCAAGGAATGCATTCTAACCTAATGGTTAGGGTAGTACACTAGCACCTTGGAAGCTATATCTTAAAGTTATAAATATAAGAATTTCTAATGAGATTATAATTGCAAATAGTTTGGCCTAGTTTTGATCATTAGGATGTATTTTAGCAGATTCAACAGAAGGTAATCAGAATAAATAAATCAAAATTTATCAAATCAAACCTAAAAATTGACCTATTTAGCATTTCATTGTATGTGTGATTTGATAATATTCAAAACCCAAGATATGGAATTAGATGGCTATATGAAATTTGATCAAAAAAATGATGAGCTAGTTGAAATTAAATAAAAATATATATTGTGAGATGTTAAATAGTTCATTTCTAAGGTGTGGATTTGATGAATTTCCCTTAGATAAATCTCAGGACACTAGATAGCCTAATAAAAAATAAAAGTCCATTATGGCATAAATAGAAAGAGAAAATGTGCTATGAACTTACATTGGCCTGTGCCATAAAAAAACAAATAGATATCCCCAATTTAGAGAAAAAAAAAGTGGAAAGCATGAAACGGAATGGTTAGTTATGGAGTCAAGATTCGCAAAGAATGCTGGAAAAACAAGCTAACAGGTTAAGTCGTAAATCAAATTCACCTGCTTCCAAAGGGGAAGCGCCTTTGACTCATCACCCAGATCATGTAAACGTTGCATGCTACAACAACAGCAGCAAAAACAACAGACAAAAATGTGAAGCCAAAAAGATAAACCATTCCCAATCCAGCAGCAAAAAGTGATATGGATGATAAAGAAAACAATAAGTGATAGAGAACAATGATATAAATATATTGAATAAATTTTGTTTCAGGAGAGAGAGGCCTGGAGCTAAATATAGCTTTATGCCTTTCAGACTGAAAGGAATACTAATCATTCCGTATGAAAATACCTAATTTGCATTTTTTTTTTTTCAAGAACACTTTTGGCTAAATTTTCGATGTAGGTAAGATATATCAAAAGGGCATATCGATTATGAAAGAGAAATATCTATTTTCAATGTTTCTAGCTATTTAACACACACACACCAGAGAAGAGTATCACACATCGAAGTAGACCAATAAAATAAAGGAAAAATTACGTATATATCAGTTATATTTATCGCTATTACAAAAATACCTTTTAGTTTCCGTTATTGCAAATACATCATTTTCTTGAACTTCATAACACTTTTAAAAGAAAAAGACAAAACTGCCCATTTTCGATTTTTCAAACCAAATATTTAAAATTTTCAGTTTTTCAGTTTCAGGTCTTAAATATTTCGGTTTTTCAAAAACCAAAATTTAAAATTTTAGTTTTTGAAAATCCGAATTTATATTTTTGTTTTATTAATATTCCTAAAAAATATCTTCTCTTTTCTCTCTCTATTCTCTCTCTCTGACAAAATAAAGCCAATGCTTTCCCTGCCTCAGCTGCTCTCTGTAACTCGCACGTTATAGTGTACAAGATTGATACCCTATATGGATCAAACTCCGAATTTGTAGAGAAACCCTCCTTTATCATCAAAACTTTGTGCAAGACACGCAGAATTTAAAAAAATTATCAAGAAACCCCATATTATCAATAATACATGGGCTTTTCATTCAAGCTCACAATTACAGTGTTGGCGAGGATTCTCACAATTCTAAGAATGATATTCATCAGCTCAGGTGCATTCTCCCTCAGAATTACAGTGTTGGCAAGCGCAAGAAGGAATGAATCCAAACCTTTGAGGCCTTGAAACACAATCGAAATGTTAAATATCATCCACCAATTTGTCAAATTTGAATAGAACCCATGGGCTTCTCTCTCCACCTCCATTGCCACCTAATACGCATCACCCATTATAAGCCTTGCTTTGGACCTTATCAGCATCAATCAAGTAAAGCCTAGTATTGTTAAGCAATGCCTACTGCATCATCATCCAAAAGCACAAACTATCAAACATGTCGCCTCATAACAAAAGTGGTCATTACGCACATATGTCGGGATACAGTCGCCCTATGGAAGCATACTTGGAGGACATCAAACGCCTTAGCAGACCAACTGGCTAAGGAGGGAGCGCTCTTGAGCAGCTGAGAGACTGTAGTTTTTCACAGCCGGGCTTCTCGTTTCTCACTTTGTGCTCGTGACCTTTTGGACTACCCCTTTCTCTTTTTGTACATGACTGTAATGGAGTGTTTATATAAGCCCCAACTTTTTTTACAGGGATCCTATCTAGGGAATCCTATTTTTTGCTAAGGGACCAGTTTTGTAGGTCCTCTCCTCTATATGAATTTTTGCCGAGGGACCTGGCTTGTGGGTCGCCTTGCTGCTTACTTGTACGCCTTATCTTTTTCTCAATACAACAGTTAACCTTATAAAAAAAAAACAAAAAGTGGCCATTACATGAATCACGCGTGGTCTAGTTCCAAATTTTCCTCCACTTTGAAAGATGGGCGAATAACAAATATCCACACTCTCAAGCTATATATTCTTCACTTCAGAGTTTGAGGGATCTAAAATGGTGAAGAATGAGAAGCCTTCTTCTCTTCATCTATAACACCCTCATGCTTTGGCACCGCAAAGTACCTGAGTCTAGATGCACTGAAGAGAGAAGCTTCCTTCTCATTTTTAATTTCACTTTCTTCATTGCAAGGAGCTCCAAGAACCTAGCAGTCACATCCTCGAGCTTGAATCCAATTACATTGAACTTTTGCCTCCATTAAAGTGAGAGCAGCGGAGACAAGGAAAGTGTTTGCTTTATTTTGTCAGAGAGAGAGAAGAGAAGAGATTTCTTAGGTACTTCAAAAAATATAAAAACATAAATTCGGATTTTCAAAAACCGAAATTTCTTAAATTGCAGTTTTTGAAAACTCGAAATATTTAGGAACTTCGGTTTTTGAAAATCCAAAAATCAGCAGTTCCATCTTTTCTAAAAGAATGTTATGAAGTTCAAAAAACGGATCTCTCTGTGATAACGGATACTAAAAGGATTTTTTTGTAATGACAGTAAATATAACGGATATATACACAAATTTCACTAAAATAAATTTGAAGTTATCACATGCTTGCCCAAAATTAAGTCAGACTCAACCTAAGTCAGCTCCATGCTACTTAAAAAACCACAAAAATTCCTACTCACTTGAGTGTCAGATTTACATCATAAGAAAAGTAGAGCCCAGAAGTTCTCTCTGCAGCATTTAGGAGCACAGCAAACTCAGTCTCCATTTTTTTCTGTGAAAAATGTGGATGGTAATAGCTAGGTATGAATCATGGAGCACAATTGGAAGAAATATCAAGAATGACAAAGGGAATTTGCTGACCTGTTCTGCTGTTGAGATTTTGAGAGCATGATTGCATGGAAAAATCTGAAGGTTCGAAACCTTGAACATGGGGTATCCCAAATAAGATCCAACACACTCTCTTTCTGTGATTACTACCATATATGCCCCTAAATCATAAAAAGGAAAGGAATCAGATTGTAGGTATTTAATATACACAACAGAATGATCAAATGCTTCATTCGACTATGATTTGTTAATGTGAGAGCACAATACCTGAAGTGTGAGAGTGTGTATGTGCGTGCGTGTGTGAGCGCGAGAGAGAGAGAGAGAGAGAGAGAGAAAGAGAGGAAGTTCGCAGAGCACAGCATTAATTAAAACTGTTTTATTGTAGCAACAGACAAGACTAGAAGCCATATCTAAATTACCAAAAAAATCTCAAACTAAATAAAAAAATTTAAAACTTTAACATGAAGGAAAATATGTTGTAGATCTATGGCACCAAGAGTCCACCTGCCAAGAGTCTTAGCATTCCAACCAAGCCATAAATAGTCCGCATTTTGGGGGCTGGGGTCGAACCACATTGAGGAAGCTCTCCTATTCATCCAACAACATAAATCACTAAGTAAGCAACTTTGGTCATGGTGCGTGCAGATATACATGCACACATTAACTTACATGTGAAATGTGGATGGTGTATTCGTGTCTATGTGAAATAGCAACACACACATGTGCTTGCGTGTGCACACGTACATGCACATGCGCATGCGCACTCATACAATGAATTCTTCAATAACAATGTCAAAACCAAAATTTAATGTAATGTCAAAACCACAATTTAATGTCAAATTGGCAAAGACTGGAGAAGACACAAGTGAAGACAGCTCTAACCAATCATGTTGAGAGATCCATCTACACGGCTGATTGCTAAAAAGGAATCGAAGGGGCCATCAGCAGGCTCAATGACGTATTGATCAGGATGTTCCCATAATCGCATCCGAGTGTAAAGCCTTCTGTCAGAATCAACCTTCTCCATGCGACTCGCCCTCCTGATCCAATTTGCTTGAAAAGGAAATCACATTATAACAAATCAATTTTTTTGTAATTTCACGTCTTAGAAAACAATAGTGAAGACTTGGTTCTTCATTACAATAATGAACAAAATTTACCCCACCCAAGCAAAAAATCATTTCATAAATGTTGTTCTGTAATGACCAGAAAATGCTATCTGTTTACATTTGTTAATCATGAATATCATACCTCCAGTTCAAATCTTAGAGCAGAGCTTCATGGGTCTCAAACAGAAAATGTTTAGAATAAACAGTTAGTGTTAATTTTGAAAAAGAAAAAAAATAATGCAAAGAATTAAAATTTCGACTTGAAAATGTATCTAAAATGTCAAAATTCATAACTCATAAAAGACCGCCGAAATAAGTTAAAAGAAAAATGCACTTAAATTATGAACAAGACCCCATCACAAAAATAAAAGCTCTAAGAATACCATTCACGTTGTTTACAATCATCAAATAGAGAGAAACTGTGAATTTTCAAGCAATTAAATGACATAGGCAACCACAGAAAACCAAATAGTGAAAAGGTATTATCAGCTGAATGGAGGATCTCAGCAGATTCCAGCCAAAAGAGCAAGCAAAACAAATTCGAAACCGAATAGATTTCGAATTAACTAGAAAAAATGCTTCTTAGAAGCAAAAGAATCCTTCACCTTGCTATGAATCATAGTTGAAGATAACAGATAAAAAATGAAAAATCAAATAATAAAACCACATGGGTACCCAAAAAGAATGCAAAAACTATGAACAGTGAGCGTTATAGAAGTCTATAAACATCTGAGTATCGGTTACAATATAAGAGATAAACTATCAGAAAGAGATCAACACTAAAAACCATGCGACCCAATCAATAACACTCACAAAATCATTAAAAAAAATCCAAAAAAAAAAAAAAGCAAAACAGAATTGACTAAGTAAACGACAAGAGCACCCGAAAAAACCACCAAGAAAGCACGAAAAACCAAAATTAAAAAATATAGACAAAACCCAACGGAATTCACAAACCTAAACAACTTGGGTACCCAAAAAAACATGGAAGAAGATGAAATTACCTTCAAACTCGCCTGTTTTCTAAAAATTCTGGCTAAATCGCCTGCCTGAAAATCATTTGCAGAACCAGGTGGATTTTAACAAGGTGGGGCTTAAATAAACCGTTGATTTGAGCGCTTTAGAGTTCAAAATCGAGCTTTTATTCGATGTTGAAAATGAAGAAATCAAGCTCACAACTGAAAGAAGTATGAACCAGTCGAGGATCAGATACAAGGTCTAAGATTTGTAGAAACTGCTCTCTAACAACGAAATCCCGCTTCTCCGAAATGTTCGAGCTAGATCTACCCCTCAACCGAAAATTCGGCTGAAAATTGCGGATTTCTACGTGATTTGCACCGAGACAAAGTCGTGCTTTTCGACCGTTTTGTTGCGTTTTCACATTGTGTCGTTGCAGGAAATAATTCTAACGAAAGTTTGCCCCATTTTGGCCCACCTCCTGCTCAAATAAATTTTCTAGGGCTCGGTGTTAAAAATAAATTTTATTTTGTGAGCTTATACTAAATAATAAAGCACATACTTTAACGTAATAAATTAAGAATAAAGGTTCCTTTATGTGGTTTATACCTTTTCCATCTTGTTTATGCACAAAATATGAGTGAAACAACTGTTGCATTTTTTATTTTTGGAAATTCTGTAGAAAATTTTTTCATAAATATTGATACGTAACATCAAGTCTATATTTTACCCTCATATTTGGCAGTGCACTATTTTTAATATGTATTTTTTGTTTTATTCTTAATTTTGGAGATCACATATCTATTTTATAATGCTAGATTGTGGATCAGATATTCGACGTTTGAACTGTTTTTTTTTGTAGCATGGTAGAATAGACATCCAATGTTCAAAGCCGTATAATTTCTGGCCTAAAGCGTAGTTTGGATATTCAATGTTCAAACCGAACAATGAATATCGGAGCTGCACTTTACCTTGAAAAAAATCTCTTGCCAGCTTATCTTAATCGGGCAATTGTGAGCACGTATGGTATTTCAAATTTAATTTTTCTATTCATTGGATTAATCTGAAATTTTAGATGTTCACAGTTTTCACCATCTTGCACATGTAAGAAATAGTAAATAAGTAATTTTTAAAATTAAATAATCGAAATACCCCTAAAGGAATTTTGATAATTTTATTTTTATTGAATTATTTTTAATATTTTTCTATCTATTTTTTTTTAACTACTCTTTTATATTTTTTACATGTGTCCGATAGTGAGAACTATTGAAACGCAGAACTTGCGGTTGCTCAATTTTATCTAAAAATATAAAATACAATGCATGCTATCAATCATATCTAAAAATATAAAATACAATGCATGCTATCCACCATAGCAGGTCTCCATTTAAACTGCGATTTTTTCATAAATTTATTAGAAACTCTGAGTTTTTTTATAAAGAAGCATTTTTTTACTTCAACTGATATAAATTTGTATTTTATCTGTTTTCAAAAAAATATTTCAAAAAAACTTCTTCCCTATAACTTTATTTCTTCATTAACTTAATATTATTGAATTTTGGTTTAGAGATAAGTACAATAGAAGTAAATTAAAATCTTGATTTAACAAAAAAATTCATCGACAATGAGTTTCCTTAAAAAAAAAGTGTATGAAAAAAATACAACCAATATATTCCCCAAAAGAAAAAGTAATCAAAACAATTGTATATCTTAAAATAATAGGTAAAATTAGAAGAAGAATAACCAATGAAAAAAAAAATTCTTTAAACCAGTAGCGTCCTTATAAAGAGCAAGAGAGATATTCAATGACACTAAAGATTTAGGTATTCGGTACGGGATTCAAATTTGCTTAAGCATTTTATTGTTTTTTTTATGTATAGGGAAGTTTGATTAATTTCCTATTTTATTTTTTAAATTTTATGTCTTTCATGTATATGACATAGTATTTTGGATGGACCACTATTTAATATTTTTTATGTTTTTTTTGTTTTTTCTTTGAAAAATAATTATATACTTTATTTCACAATTCTTGTTATTTGTTAATTAGTTATTGTGTTTAGTATTGATGTTTTTGTTTCATTTTATACTCCTAATAAATCTATGATATGTTTTGTGTTGTGACAACACAATAAGCATTGTTGTTTAATTTATTGAAAGTTTCAACAAAAAACTATCAAGTATTGTTGTAATGGCACTAGTAAGGTTATAAAATTATTGTTTAATAGTTTTAACATATCTATGCAAGAGTTGCAATCATAATTCTATATTGTGTCATCTTTACAAATCCAATTTTTTCACTATGTTTTTTTTAACCAAATCCAAAATATTTATGATTCTATAACTTACCTTTTTTTTGTCAATCCGTATTTTTAACCTAATTTTTTCCTCCAACTTTTTGAAATAAAATCGGTTATTGACGATGTTTTGGTCTCGTGATATTTTATTGTAGAGAAAGACAAATGCCATAATACCATAACAATCCGCTTCTCAGTTATTGGAACAATGTCATACTAGCCCAAGAGTCACAACCAAATAGAAGAACAATCAAGGTGGAAGAAAAACATTCAATCAGTTAAAGAAAAACATGGGGTACACAAAGGCATTACAATCTTTACACACAAGATTAACCTTGATACATGTGACCTAGGGGTACACAAAGACATTACAATATTGACATCCAATATTAGCCTTAATACATGTCACCCATGGGTACACAAAGGCATTACAATATTGACACCCAAAATTAACCTTAAATCTGTGACCCAAGGGTACACAAAAACATTATAATTTTGACACCCAAGATTAACCTTAATACATGTGACCCCATTTTTCCCACCATATACATCTCTTTAAATAGAGGTTATTACAAACTATATTTATTACACTAACTCCCCACTCTCAACAATAACCAGTAACTTACAACAATAACTACTAACCACCTAGTAGTTTCACAACTTCTTGTTACACAAAATTACAAATTACAACCTCACTACATCACTCATAATAAAATAAAATAAATACTAACATAATTTCTAGAAAATACACTTTAACAAGCTTAACATTTATTATTTTCTGACTTGCTAACTATACTCGCAACTATTTAATCACATTTAGATAGTTGAGGTTTCTTTGCCTTTTTTCTTTTTTGAGTCAAATAGTATTCTTGTTACAAAATGAAGGAAAAGAGCCCGGGCTTAATTGGATAACGCTTAACGAATTTGCAGCATTATGTCCAAGGCTCAATTCCTAACAAGGGTAGGGGCCCCTCCCCACTAACTCATCCCAAAAAACGAAACAGACTGGACATCAAATGTGTAAAGCAACTTTGGTATAAAAATAAATAAATAAATAAATAATTTAAAAAAAAAACTTGAGCATGAAATAGAACTTTCGCAAACTTCTTAAAACTTGATATTCTGCAATGCTACGTTCTAAGCTCGTAGGACCCTACTCCCCACTTAACCAAAAAGAGAAAAAAGAAGCGGCCTAACATCCAATGTTTAAAGCCCCTTTGTTATAAAAAAAAATAAATAATTAAAAAATAAAAAACTTAAACGCAAAATATAACTTTCGTCAACTTCTTAAAACTTGATATTTATATAAAAAAATTATACATTTATCATTTTTGTCATTCAAGATAGGAGGGTGCGTGCCCTTTGGGTGCGGCAGGAAGAGACAGAGAGAGAATTCATTTTTTTTTCATATTATTTGTGATTATAGCAACGGAGTGTGTTGTAGCGATACACCTACCTGAGTATCCAATGTTCAAATGACATTGGACGGTGGAGATTAGGCTTGTGGAGCCAGACTGTATGTATCTTTTGTCTCAATACGCCGTTATTACAGTGCATTTGAGCCCCTCTAAGAAGCATGCTGCAGCATATTATTCCGAGAACATCACCGTTCAACCGCCACTGGAAGATGGAGATTGTATGAAGGTATATGATATATCCACATTTGAAAATTTCATCCTACCCTTCGGGATCCAATCTCTGTATTATACATGCCCTCCATTCAAAATAGGAAAAAGTTTGTAGGGAAAAATTACAAAAACTTTACGCACTTTTCTCCCGCCCAACTTTTTCTAGCAACTTCCCACAAAAAAATCATGTTTTCTAGCAAATACTCCCACATAAAAAGTTAATATTTGTTTGACAAAAATACCCTTCTCTTATGTAAGAAATCATTTTCGGATCCCAATATAAGGAAACACCGAACCGCACTTATACAAAACCTGATTGCTCACTTCCAAACGCTTGACCGCTACTTCAAAACGCCTGACTGGCCCTTCAAAATGCTGACCGCGATATCAAACGCATGACTTCCCCTTCAAAATGTGTGACCGCAATTTCAAAACGTTGGACTGCCCCCTATGAAATGCCAGACTAGCCATTCCAGCAAAAATAATCGCTGGACCGCCTGTTCAAAATGGCAGACCGCCCTCTCCTATGAAAATAATTTGTTATGTGACAGAAAGGTATTTTCATCCAAAAAATTTAACGTTTATATAGAGTATTTACTAGAAAAAATTGGGTGGAGGGTAAAGTGTGTAAAAAGTCCATTTTGGGGGGGGGGGGGGGCGGGGGGGTTTACACTTTTCCCAAGTTTACATAACGATGCAACCTTATAAAGTAGAACTACGGATACACCTCAAAAATCCATCGGAAAATGTTGTTTTAATGTTGAAAAACCCTTTGATTAATCATCTCGACATCGAGATGTATGACTATAAAAAATAAAAAGATTTAAGTCTCAGAGATAGTGCATTTTACAACATATTATCTACACCGTCCTTTGTCAATATTTTCATATGTTTATAGATCC